CCTTCAGGATGGAGAGCAGGGGAAAGTGTTGGCAAATATGTCATATTTATGGGCCCCTGCCTTCCCTGATTGAGCACAACGAGTGATCAGTACCAATCACTCTATGTGTTCATTCATAATTGAAGCATAGTAAACTATGTTTACTATGCTTCAATTTGTGAATGAACGGGCGCTTCTGTACAGAAGGTTTTCTATTCATTCACTGTCCAGTACAGCTGAGAGAAAGAAACTGATAAATGTATTTCTTCAGTCCCTTTATCTGTCTCAAAAGTGATAAATCATGGGTCTGTTTAGATATTTCACCAAAGCCCCCACCACCACCATGCTGAGAAAAAATAAATAAAAAGAATTGTAAAAAAAAATAAAAAATTGTAAAAACATAATGTTCAAAAATGTAAAAAAAAAATGCAAACAAGTAAAGGGTTCATTTACATGGGTTCTCTGGCCCTTGGAATGTGAATGAGAGGTTTGTGTGGCTGGGCTGCCTTTAGCCTTTAGGATTAAGAGCTGCAGCCGTGTTTGTACAGCTGTTGCATCCCTATAGTGTAACACAGCTTTCCTACATACAGCTCCAAACACAAACATTACACTAATTCACACTGTACAGGCCACAGAACCCATGTGAATGAGCCCCAAGACCTCATCCATGCACAGAGCTTTATTTTCTAATTCAATACAGTTTTATCTTTTAGATTTAGCAGGTATTTTGTAAGTTATGTTGTGTTTTGTGTACACTAATAATGATTTTGAGGGATAAGTTCACTTTTGGGAACATGGTGCATGTTTCACCTGTCTTTGTTTTTTAAGTCCCCAGCCAGCAGACCCCCAGAACCACCAGGCCAGTATTGGGGGGGGGGGGGCGGTATTATAAGAGGCCCTTGTCCTTAACATGGGTACCACACATTCAATCCTCCCTCTTCCTGGACAGCCAAGCTGCATGTTAGAACAAGGGTTTAGTGTGGATTTTCTTTTGTGATTTGTGGGTTTCCCCCTATCTGAACTTTGAGGGGGAGCCCACGCCATTTAAAAAAAAATGTTTAGGTGGAGACCCCCTTAAAATGTATGCAAGACTTGAAAGAACGCTAGATTTACAACAGCTACAGGCTCAGCGACGCACTGGTACTGCACGGGTGACAGTATGTAACAAAAATTGTGAGAAAAAAAATTGTTTTTAATTTCTTCATTTTCCACAAAATTGTAACAAAAAAATTACTACTTCAAAAAATTTCCCATACCTCTTACTAAATACCTTGGACTATTTACTTTCTAAAAAGGGGTCATTTGGGGGGTATGTATTTTGTCCTGGCATTTTAGGGCCTCAAGAAATGAGATAGGCCATCAGTATATCAGGACTGATAATTTTCAAACATATATACTGTAGCATAGTTTGTAGACTCTATAACTTTCCCACAGACTAAATACCATATTTTTCGCTCCATAAGACGCACTTTTTTCCCCCAAAAAAGGGGGGGGAAAATGTCAGTGCGTCTTATGGAGCGAATATGGAGCGGCCGGTCCGGTATTTCCACCACCGCCGTGTCAGAATACCGGGCCGGCCGCTCAGCTCTGCAGCGGGACCTTATGGAGATTACTGCTGACCTTTGGGGAGGGGGGGGGGGCGGGTACCTGAATTTGACAGGTACCCGCTCTTACTTCCGCGGAGTTGTTCTTTGACCTTACCTGTTCCTCTATCCAGCGGCGGGCTGTCTTCCCAGCTTCTGTAGTGTAGGCGCTGGGCTTGACAGCCGGGTGCCAAGTGCGCATGCGCAAGAAGCAGTGCTTTTTCTGAATAGTAAGGCGGTACCTGGGACACATGACAGATCCCAGAAGCCGCCGGACCAATCACAAAGCGCAAGTGCTTCTTGCTCATGCACACTGGCACCCGGCTGTCATGCTGAGCGCCCACACTACAGAAGCCGGGAAGACAGCGCGCGGCTGGATAGAGGAACAGGTAAGATCAAAGAACAACTCCGCGGAAGTCATCTCCTGTACTATGTCTGCAGTCCATTAGTTCAGAATTTTTTTTTTACTGTTTTCTGCCTCTAAAACCTAGGTGCGTCTTATGGTCAGGTGCGTCTTATGGAGCGAAAAATACGGTAATATACACTGATTTGGGTTATATTTACCAAAAAAATGTTGCAGACTACATTTTGGCCTAAGTTTATGAAGAAAGTTTGTTTGCAAAATGTTATAATAGAAACAAAATAAAACATGTTTTTTTTCTCAAATTTTCAGCCTTATTTCATTATTTAGCAAAAAATAAAAAAATCAATGGTGATTAAGTACCACTAAAAAAAGCTCTATGGGAAAAAAAAATAAAAATGTCGTTTGGATACAGTGTTGCATGACAGAGCAATTGCCAGTTAAAGTAGCACAGCGCTGAATAGCAAAAAATGCCCTGGTCATGAAGGGGGTAAAACCTGCCAGAGTTCAAGTGGTTAAAATCAAGAGTTTTAAAAATGTAGCAGATGACAACTGTCTCACATCTTTTTCTTCCCATCATTGCTTCAATGGGATGTGTAAGCTCCTCTGTGTATGTTTTCTCACTGTAAGGAGGCATACTTTGCCATTTTATCTTTCTGCTGTACATTGGTAGTGAATGGAAACATGCCTCCCTAAACTGGTGTCAGTGTGTGAAGCCTCCTATTATTGATATCGGTAACTACTTACCTGACATGAAGCTCTATGTTCCATATTGTTGACTTCAGCTGTGATTACAGTGCTGAAGGATTGCAGACATTGCTGAGTGGGAGATCATTCTACTCAGGATGGCCTGCGGACCTGGGACAGGTGTTTCCCTAAAGCAGGGGTGCTCAGCCTTTTGAAGAGCGAGGGCCACTTAAGTGATTTGGTTTGAAATGAAATGGTTCAGAAGTTCAAATTTTTTATTTTGAACAGCATAATGAACATGACTGAGGGACCTGCAGAGTGCCAAGGCTCCTGTTATCTATAAGCACCCACAAATTAGAACCTTCCTTTTTCCCCCAAAATGACCAGATGACAACATTTTATTTGGAGGAGAACACGGCTTTCAGTGGCTGCAGGAAGAAAATGGAGAGGATTAGTTCCTGTATATGCTACCCCTTCTGTGCAAGTGTAAAACAGAATGTGACAGGGTGGCCACATGGGCTCCCTGTAGCATGGGGCAGGGTTGGCACTTTGATGCAACACCAGTGGTTGGGTGTGTGGTAAAAACACATCTCAACTATGGGGTTTTACAGCCCCCAAACTGCAAATGTAAATGGCCACTCAAGCTTCTAGAGCAGGGGGAGGTATCAGGGAACTGACCTGCAGAGCCCTCAGCCCTGACCTAAAGTTACCTGGCTGACTCATCCCAGGCTAGCTCATCCCAGGCTGCTATCCAGCCTCTAACTAAAAACCTATCTAGCTCCCCCTGGCTAACTAGAGGGGCGCTATATGTTGTTACCTTCAGCTTGTATTGTGAATAAAGGGGAAATGGAATATTGTTTCCCAGTGCCACTTCTATCAGAATTACCACTTTACTTTATGGAAGAAAATGCTATCATTTTAGTGTCAATATTAATAATATTACATTAGTGTCCCACCATATTAGACAGATTTGCAGGCACTTCTACTTCCAAATATTGACAGATTTACCAGATAAACTGGTCTGTTTAAGCTCCTCAACTGAACTGGAGAAAGGTAAATTTCTTTATAAAACAATGCTAACATTACATGCATTTTTACAGAATAGGATATTTGTGTTTCCAGCATTATCTGTGATGATCTAGCAAAGAAGGAATGCACGCTATTTCACTTTTTCCAGTTTAATCATGCAGTGAATCATTTTGGATAGAGTAAATCATGTCTTGTAACAATCTAACCTACCTTAAAGGCATGGTTCACATTTACCAGAAAACTGCCTATGCACGTAAAATCTGTAGATAAAAACAAAATGTGTAGCTTTGATCAAACATAATGCTCTTGCTATAGGTGTAGGCTATTTACATACCTCGCAAAGCCTGACTGAAAAACTCCCAGAGATTGCATTATCTCAGCCTGTCTTGTTGCTAGGACATTGCTAAGAGACTCCTTGCACTTACTATTCACCTTCACCATCACAAGGAGTGAGCTCTTTCTCTGATTCAAACTCCATTACATGCTCATTTTCTTCCCTGATGCAGTAACTCTGAGCTCAGCATTTGAGAACCTGCTCCTGTGATGGTGGAGAGGAACAGTAAGTGCCAGGAATCTCTTTGCAATGTGCTAGCAACAGGGTAGGTTGGGAGTTTTCAGTCAGGCTTCAGGAGGGACCTAAATGGGCCTCCACCTATAAAAGGGGTTTTATTCAGCTTTCACTAAAGCTACACAGTTTGTTTTTATCTACAGGAGTCCCTTACCTGCATAAACAGTTTTTTTGGTAAAGGTGAACTTCAGTATGCCTTTAACCACCTTCCGCCCGCCCTATAGTACAATGACAGGCGCAAGGTGATTCTCTCGTTCTGATAGGACCTCATATGACGTCCTACTATTCTCACTGCGCATGCGCGGCTCAGGGAGCGCGCAGCGCAGCGATCGCCGGTGCGCTGTGTCCCTCGGACACAGAGGATCTTGGAAAGAGCCAAAGATGTCGGCTTGGTCATGTGATCAGCTGTGTCCAATCACAGCTGATCACATGTAAACACGGAAATGCCGGTTATCGGCATTTCTCTCCTCTCGAGCTGTCACGCTGACAGCTCGAGAGGAGAGCCGGTAATCGGCTTTCCACGGAGGGGACATGTACACTGATCATCAGGTCACTGATGATCAGTGAGCCCTGATGATCAGTGTGGCCCCAGAAGTGCCACCTGTCAGTGCCCATCAGTGCTACGTGCCAGTGCCCATCAGTGCCACGAGCCAGTGCCCATCAGTGCCACATCAATGCCACATATCAGTGCATACCAGTGCACATCAATGCCACATATCAGTGCCAATCTGAGCTGCCTTTCAATGTCATCCATCAGTGCCAGCTATCAATGCCAATCAGTGTCACCTATCAGTGCTGCCAATCAGTGCCACCTATCAGTGCCAGTCAGTGTCGCCTATCAGTGTGCATCAGTGCCAGTCAGTGCTTCCTATCAGTGCCAGTCAGTGTGCCACCTAACAGTGCCAGTCAGTGCCACCTATCAGTGCCAGTCAGTGCCGCCTATCAGTGCCGCCTATCAGTGTCATGTATCAGTGCTGCCTTTCAGTTCCCATCAGTGATGCCTGTCAATGCCCATCAGTACAACCTACCAGTGCCTCCTCATCAGTGCCCATCAGTGCCACCTATCAGTGTCCATCAGTGCAGCCTATCAGTGCCCATCACTGCAGCCTCATTAGCGCACATCAGTGAAGGAGAAAAATCATTTATTTACAAAATTGTATAACAAAAACAAAGAAAAAACCTTTGTTTCAAAATTTTCAGTGGTTTTTGGTTTGTTTAAGAAAAAATAAAAAAAACCCAGAGGTGATTAAATACCACCAAAAGAAAGCTCTCTCTGTCTCAAAAAAAATGATAAAAATGTCATATGGGTACAGTGTTGCATGACCGCGCAATTGTCATTCAAAGTGTGACAGCACTGAAAGCTGGAAATTGGCCTGGGCAGGAAGGGGGTATAAGTGCCCTGTAGGCTAGTGGCTAAAAGAAACCAGTGCTATTCAAATCTATGTTAAATGCTGCTACTTTGCTGTGAAGTGAGATTTTTACACCCAGACAAAGACAAGCTGCTGAAAAGATATGTATAGAGATGAACCTCCTGCACTACCTTCATACCCCAAGTGACCACCTTACATATTTATGTTATGTTTACACCTGGTTGAGTGATATATTTTTATCTAGTTTATGTCATTCATTTTTCCACATATCAGTCACTTAGCAGTGTATCACCCTGTTACCTTTTACTGAAAAGATATGAACACTCGTTATAGCTCCAAAATTACTTTTCTATCACTTTACAGAGCTAGAACCAGGGGCGAACTGACAACTCATGGGGCCCCCGGGCAATAGGAGATCATGGGGCCCCCGGGCAATAGGAGATCATGGGGCCCCTGTGTCCTTGCCCAAACTCAAAAAAAGCCTATGAAGAAGGTACCAGGGGCATCTCATGGGACCCCCTACTGACCTGGGGCCCTCAGGCAGTGCCCGAGTTTCCAAATGGTCAGTCCACCCCTGGCTAGGACAGAGTGTCTATAGCCACACAGATGCAATATATGGCTAACGTGTGGACCAGAAACTATAAAGAAAGAGTCAGCAGGACTGCAGAGGGGAGTTGGTAAACTAGCAAGGTCCATCACCAACCAGGCATGATGGTACAAAAAATAAAAGAGTGCAAAGCACAGTCTGATGTACACTCACCAGCCACTTTATTAGGTACACCTGTTCAATTGCTGGGCAACACAAATCCCTAATCAGCCAATATTATGGCAGCAATGCTATGCATTTAGGCATGCAGACGTGGTGAAAACAACTTGCTGAAGTACAAACCAAGCATCAGAATGGGGAAGAAAGGGGATTTAAGTGACTTTGAACGTGGCATGGTTGCTGGTTCCAAACGGGCTGCCTGAGTATTTTAAAAAAACTGCTTATCTATACTGGGATTTTCACACACAACCATCTCTAGGAATTACACAGAATGGTCCAAAAAAGAGAAAATATCTGGTGAACAGCAGTTGTGTGGACAAATATGCCTTGTTGATGTCAGAAGGGAAAGGACAGACTGGTTGCTGCGACATAGAGATATTGTAGGGTCAGAATTTGGCATAAACAACATGAAAGCATGGATCCATCCTGCTTTGTATCAACGATTCAGGATGCTGGTGGTGGTGTAATGGTGTGGGGGAGATTTTCTTGACACCAGCCAGGTGTACCTAATAAAGTGGCCAGTGAGTGTATAGAAGGGTTATTTTCAAGGGGTAGCCTGAGAAAAACAATCTGAAAATAAAACCAGCTCAGTACAAGCAAGGTCAGAACAAGCAACAAAAGCTGTTTGATAAACAGCAAATACTTGAACCCAGTAGTTAATAAGCCTTAGAAAGAGCAATTTTAGAGTGGTTGCTGATTATAAGGGGTTCCCATCTATCGGAGGATGTCCACTTCTGGGTGTCCAGGTTTGGTCATGCCTCTCCAGATGGAAAATGAGCTTGTACACTGTAGAATTGTAGAGCTGTAAAATGACGTTTAAAAAAAGGGCAGTGAAACCTAAGTAGTCCAAAAGAAGTTTGATAGATGGTGAGGGCTCACATAGGCTGAGATGTACAGTATATAGGGAGCCTCATACAGAGAAGATTGGCTGTGTGGAGATGGTCACATTTATCAAGTGGATGTGGCTAGACCCTGTAACCCTCAGCACTACACAGTGAATACAATTACTAAAGCTGATGCTGCCAAAAAATCATTGTGATGATTTCCTATTAAGCGCTTACTGACCTCCTTCTAACTTTCCAACAATTTGTTGAGTCATCCTCTTTCAGCTTTTGGTGGAGGTTGCATTTTACTTCCACCCACACAGTGGTGAAGTCAGTTTACTGAAGCACCGTATTTTCTTGGAGGTTTAATATATATACTGTATATTACTGACAAAAGAAAAATCATGATATGCTCACAATTATTTAGTTGCAAAATGGATAGGGGGAGAGAATCTAATAAAATATGTTGACTGTAAATTTGTTGGCAAGAAAGTATAGTAACATTTGAAGAATGAACAAGATATTCAGCTTAAAGCAGTATTAACCCCAAAACAAGTATGTAAGTTTACCTGACTTTCTGCCCTGCTGACAATCTTTTACCAGACAGACGTGAAGAGGACTCTCCAACATCAGCACAAACAGAATTAGAAATGCTTTCCATTAACCCCTTGGCGCCTCCTGGGCCTCTAAGGGGTTTTTGATGAAAGGAGGTTTCAGGCTCATGTGACCATTATGATTGGCTGTCATGGCAGTCACATGATTGGAAAGCTCCCAACCAAATGAAGTGATCGGAACCTTTCAGTGAAGCTTCGGTAAATGTGGTGGGAGCGCGTTCTCTTGGCACATTTTGTTTACATTGGATACGCAAATATGTGGCCCCTCGGCACCAACGCCCAGCTGCTGAGAGGCCACGATATTTGCAAACACTCGGTGCCAAGGAGTTAATAGAGCTAGAGACTAGTACCCCTGTCAGGTTTTACTTCTGGAGCAAGTGAAAATGAGGAGCTGGATTAAAACCATCAGTACATTAATCAGAATATGATAAGGCAGAGTGGCTCCCATAAAGTGACACTAAACCCTGGTTAAAAGAAAAAAAAATCAATATAAGTATATATTCTTCACTTTAAAAAGTACTCTCTTTTGCTCTCAGTCTCCTCCAAATTTCCAAATTCTTTTGTTTTTCTGTTGTGATGCGACTTCCTTCTCTATAGAAACACTGTATGTAGAAATGTAGCCACTCTCTCTTAACTTCTATGTATTGAGAATTCAAAAAATATTGATTAATTTGTAAATATATAAAAATTATGACAAAATTTATGAAAACAGAAAAAATTATGCAAGAAATAATAATAACAATAAATAGCAATAAATAGATCTCATGTAAAATTGGATAAAATATTAATTCTTTTTCACTCATTGAGAATTGGTTAGATGCACAACATTCCTTCTCTATAGAAACACTATATGTAGAAATGTAGCCACTCTCTCTTGACTTCTATGTATTGAGAATTCAAAAAATATTGACTAACTTGTAAAATTATAAAAATTATGACAAAATTTATGAAAACAGAAAAAATTATGCAAGAAATAATAACAATAAATAGTAATAAATAGATCTCATGTAAAATTGGATAAAATATTAATTCTTTTTCACTCATTGAGAATTGATTAGATGCACAAACATAATCCCTTTCTGAAAAAGTTTTTGTCATTCTTACAATAAAAAGATGTACTAAACTCCAATCTTTAGGGTGGAGCTGAAACAAGGCACAGTGGCCAATGAAGGTCCCTAGAAACCCACAGAACAACTAATAGAGTCCCAAATGCAGCAAAATACAGTATACTAATGTACTATTATATTTATTATACTAATATAATAAATGCACTAAATTAAAATTCACAAGTTGGAATCGAGTCAAAATAGAATGGCCAAAAAATGTATTTCTTCCTTCTAACCGGTACTCTGTTAGAAAAATTTCCCCTGACCTCCTTTTTTTTATTTCTGTCTGTGTCCCTGTTGTAGATTTTTCCTTCTTTATCTGCATGGAGAAACTGTCAATAGCAGGAGCATAAGTATGGGAAAATATGCTGCGTTTTTCTGCAATGCACTGGATGGCATTTCGTGTCACTGCACAGCAGCATTTGCAACTTCAAATAAAGTTAAAAAATGAAACAGTAGGCTGTGCTGAAATTGTGGATCAACCACCTTATCTTACTGCCTCCAGGCTGCCTGTGTGAACAAGGCCTCACTGTGTTGTGTAGATTGAAAATTACATTTACTCCATAGTGCTTACACATGTGGTGATTAGAGATGAGCGAATCGAACCAGGCGAACCGGAATTCGAGTCGAATTTCAGGAAATATTCGATTCGCGGCAAAACCGAAATTTTGCCTACTTCGGGTGCGCGAATCGAACATTTCCCGATCAGCCGGCAAAAGTGTCCCTGCAGTGAGCTCCGCTATTTCTGACAGTTCTCTGACAGAAGGAACACATGTTTAGCGGTTGAAACATTGTATCTATTAGTTTACATTTAGGATACAGATGTTTCAACCACTGTTCATGTGAAGAAGCTGTGAGAGAACTGTCAGAAATAGAGGAACTCTGCACATACACTTTTTGCCGGCTTGGAATTATTCTTCTTTTCATCCTACTTCTTCTTCTTCTTCATCTTCATCCTCAGAAGAAGAGGATGAGGATGAGGATGAAGAAGAAGAAGAAGAAGTAGGATGAAAAGAAGAATAATTCCAAGCCGGCAAAAAGTGTATGTGCAGAGTTCCTCTATTTCTGACAGTTCTCTCACAGCTTTTTCACATGTACAGCGGTTGAAACATCTGTATCCTAAATGGAAACTAATAGATACAATTTGTATCTATTAGTTTCCATTTAGGATACAGATGTTTCAACCGCTGTACATGTGAAGAAGCTGTGAGAGAACTGTCAGAAATAGAGGAACTCTGCACATACATTTTTGCCGGCTTGGAATTATTCTTCTTTTCATCCTACTTCTTCTTCTTCTTCTTCTTCATCCTCATCCTCATCCTCTTCTTCTGAGGATGAGGATGAGGATGAAGAAGAAGAAGAAGCAGTAGGATGAAAATAAGAATAATTCCAAGCCGGCAAAAAGTGTATGTGCAGAGTTCCTCTATTCTGCAGATACACTTAGAGGAGCTCTGCACATACACTTTTTGCCTGTTTGGAATT